CTGGATGAATCAGGCCAATCAATCAACGCTTAACTTTCGGGACTTAATTCCGCCGCGGGCTTCTTTCTTTTTTTGTTGTTGTTGTGAGCCTTGCCTTGGGCCATGGTTAACCTTTCTTGACTCTATTGTCCTGCATGTGTTTTGCCGGTCTAACTCGAAATGTGGCTGATTCATCAGGATCAGCATGGCGGATTACTGAAGGCAGGAAAAGAAGGGAAATCGATAGAACAAGAGTGATTAATATATTTCCTACCAATAAACACGAAGAGCTAAAAGGAATCAAGTCGGTCTTTATTTCGCCCGTAAGTTCCGAGGTAGACATCATCATGACTTGTCTGCATCATGAGTGGAGAAAGGGAAAACAAGAAAAGAAAAAAAAAAAGAAAAAAAGGTCAGAGAGGATAGGCAAACTAACGGCACATAATGGTGGCGGACGGCGAATTGTGCTGTGCGCCAGTCCTTTCTTGGATTCTCTGCATAAGAGGAAGAAAAGCAAAGACCACCTCAGCACCTATTTTGTTTTTTTTGGTTTTTCTCTCTTTCCTTCTCTATTAAGTCTTTCTGTTCCGTAACCCTTAGTCTGGTATTAGCATTTTTGTTCTCCCAGCCTGAGGACCCCCTTTTTTCTCTTTTTGACTTTTGACTCATGAAATCATCTTATGCATGCTTCCCAAAGCCAAAGCCGCACATACCAATCCAAAGCCACTAGTGAGATAGCGTTGGGTCTCCGCCCCATAGTATGGGTCCCATTTTTATCTGTCCATATCTCAAGTCCTTCCGATGCCCCAGACTGTCTGAGGGGAGTTCAGGTGGTTCCTGCAATGACTGACAAGATAACTATGTTGGTGCATCAGAAAAGCAAGGAGGCTAGGAGTAGGGGGAAATCAAGGGTGAAAGCAACGCAAAAAAAAGAAAAAAAAAAAAAAAAAAAGATTAAGGCTGTATCAAATCCCGAAATGAACTGGACCTCACATGGGTTCGATCAATAGCCAGCTATGGAGGTTTAAGCCATGCTTCATAATAAAGTCATGATGCGTAGGGTAATGGTGGCCCTGAGGGATCTGCTGGTGCTCCATCATCAGAGACGCTCTAAAATTGGCACACATTCGATAGAATGAACTAGTAGAAGATCAGAGGGAGGGGAGTCGTAGGGATTTAGTGTTATATTATAGTATAGGATAGTGTGTATAGTGTCATTGGCATCGCTGGAACTTGAGATGGTTCGGAATTCCAATTAGGGCAACGGAGGCGGTGGTGAAGTCATTGTTCACCTCTTCCTTCTTCTGCTGCTGCTGCTGATTATTTTTATTTTATTATTTTATTTTATTCTATTTGGCTTTCTGATTTGATGGCTTTTTTATTTTTATTTTGTTTCCCACTCTTCTCCCATCCTCCCCTTCCAGATCATACACACTAGTGATCCTTGGATTTGACTTTTCTTGACTCTCCCCATCAGTCTCACTAACGCGATTCATGTCCATTCCTTCTGGTTGACCGGGACCATTTTGGTTGTCTTTTGATGTCTCCAGCGGAGTCACGATTTCCACTTCGTCCATCGTTCCGTTTCCTTTCTTTCCGTTTGTCCATCCTTCTCGAAGACGCTTGTTTCAACTCCCTCCCCCTTTTTTCCTTCGGCATTATATATAACCAAACTATTTTTTTAACTTAATCCCTAATACTATCCGTCCGCCCTCTCAGTGAACATCCTCCTCGCCTGGATGATGAGAGTGACCAGAGTCTCCATCCTGCGGTGCGGACGAGCTCTGAGTTGATCAGACCATCTCTTCATGCCGATCTCGTCAACATCAATCCGATTGAATGCTTGGATGCAACTCACCTGGTCTCGGTCACTATGGCAAACTCATTTCCGCCATCTCAGACACCCTTAAACAGCTTTCTCTTGCATCCGTCACAGCGCCTAAACGAGCCGTCGGCGCTCTCCGCCTACTCCATCCTGGGTCCCGCACAATATCCGGAGAGTGTCGCTCTGTGGCATAACCCTCCTACCCAACCCCCCTCGCAGTCGGGCTTGTCAGTATCTGCCCCGCCTGCGTCTTTTGCTCCTATTCCGAAGCCACAGTCGCTGCTGCAGCCCATCCCAGACCAGAAAAAGCACAAGCGCACCAGAAGTGGCTGTTTCACATGCCGAGCCCGTCGGATCAAATGTGATGAGACCCGTCCCGTCTGCGATAGATGCCGGAAGGGGAACCGCGACTGTGTCTATCCCACTCCGGGCACGAGCGGCTCTATGGCCTCGGCCGGTTCCCGTTCCGGAGCTAAGTCCAAGGCACCTCGGCCCCAATCGCGCGGGAGTGATTCGTCTAGCCATGTGGAAGCAGACGACATTCACATCCTGGAACCCATCGCAGATGAGGACGAGGAAGAAGAAGGAAGTGTGGGGTCCAGTTCACGTTTATCGCCCTGCACGGGCCCGAGTGGGACAAGAAGCAAGCTCGACCTGCGCAACAAACGCAGCGCACAATCTTTAGCCAGACGCAAAGCGAAGCAACAGTCACTCGTAATCCAAGCTGCCTCTGAAACTTCGGGATCTTATAGGGAGCCTAGCAGTTCACCGTCGACCGAGGCGTCCTTGAGGCTCGATTCGGCAAGTGTGCGGTCGGTCAGCGTCGGCCTGAACCCTTATGAATCTTTCGCAGTTCCCAACGCCGCCCATCTACCGGAAGATGTGCGCTTCTATCTCGCGTTCCATCAAGGGTATATGACTCCACGTCATTATTTCATGAGGCGTGGCAGCCACCGGTTCGTTCATCAGAGTCTCATCGAATTAGCTCTGCAATATGACCCCCTTCTCTATGCCATCGTCGGCTTCGCTGCGTACCATCATTGCGTTCAAACCGGAAACGGGAGACTGTATACATTTCTCAAATATTACAACATGGCATTGAAGATGTTACGGAAATCGTTGAGCTCAAGCGAAGAGCATTCGGAGGCGACACTGATCACCGTTTTGGTTCTCGCCACTTTTGAAGTAGGTTTCACCACCATGGTACCGCCATTTTCATGCTTCCTCCCTTTTACCGCTCTTCGTCTGTCCACTGAAGCACCCTTTTCTTGCCCGGAGAGCCACTAATTGGGAATCAACCAGGAATTCATCGGTGACTGGGTAAACCTGATCGACCACCATCAAGCCGCTCATGCACTGATGCGCGAGCTCTTAAGCCCCGAATCCATCGCCACAAACGAGCTCCATGGTCACATATTCCCTTGGTACGCTCGATTTGATGTGGTAGCGGGAATATTAGCCGGAAATGAAATGGTCCTGGGCCGGGAATGGTACATCGCGAAAGAAGACTACGATGCTCAACAGGCCGCCATGTATCCAAAGGACGTGGACAAGCAGCTCAACTTAGCTGCGTCGATTAATCGTCGATCCGGGCTAGAAATGGCGTCGTTGTATGCCAAACTGTCACGCGGGATGATTCCAATTGACGAGTTTATCTTGCAAAACGACCAGCTCGGTCAGCTCATCGAAAAAGTACGGGAAATCCTGGAGAAGTTCCACAGTTCGGAGTACACTGTCTGGCAGTATCCAGACAGACAGCCTTTGACGGAAGATGACATTGTTGACCCTTATATCCCTGGTGGCATGCATCGGGGCCCACTGTGGGATGTGAATGTAGCATGGATTGACTACTATGCCACCAAAGCGATGTACAAGTATCAATCACTACTCTCTGTGAGACAGTCCTCACCGTCAGAGTTGCAACACCTGGCTCTAGAGCAATGTCGACTGATCGAGGCCATTGAGCGGTGGCCGGAGAAGGAAAATGGATATCTGTTTACATATAAGAACAGTATTGGAATGGCATGCTTGTTTGCCCCTAAGGACAGTAAACATGCCATGTGGGGCCGAAAAAAGTTGGCGCTGTTGGAGCGTAACGGGTAAGTCATTCTGATACTTCTTTTCCCTTGGACAACAGGTACCACAGAAACCAGGGGACTGACCGTGCATTGGGCTGTAGGTATCTATTGGCCCCGAAGTTCCGGCAGCTATTGGCCACTGTGTGGCAGTCGCCAGAGATCAACCACTGGTGGCTCCCTAACGACGAAGGGTATCCGGATATCATCCGAGAGGTGCGGTCTATGACGGAGGAACGTTCTAATACCCCGCGTGATAATTTCCGCGAGAGTGTTCGCAATTTGAGGTCATTGTTCTGGAATATCAGCTTGGATGACTCCTCGAGCTCGAATAATTCGTCCCCGTTGGGACAAGACCGATGAACAGGGTTACGCACCTGAAGCTTCTGCATTACAATAACACTTTCGAATGCTATGAGCCCACTCTCGAGTCCACTGTGAATTGTGGCTCCTCAGTCTTGAAGACCAGCAGAAGGCTCTGTAGAGCACACTCATCAACCCTCACGACCACAATTGATACTTCGCCATGTCCGACTATAATCCAACATTTTCTGGACATTTTCTCTTGGCTTCCAGGGACTGGAGGCTTCCATACTTGGGAGGATGAACTCCATCCCATCGAAACACCCCCTTGAACTGATGACCGGATGAGACGTCTTTTCCTTAGCCTCTTCACTTATTTTGCTTTTTCAATCCATATACCCACTGAGCGACATCTTATATTCGTGCATGACATGCAGTTTAGTATTATCTTTTTGTTCGATCCTGGAGATGATCGGAACAAAGCAAAGGAAGGTCCTTTAAAAGTAATATTATAATAGTGGACACCGCGCTATTGGCAGCTAGGATACCGGGGCAATCGCTTATTTATGGATTTCATATCATTTACTCGCATTTGCATACAGATATACATGAGATCATATATATACCCAATGGAAGCATGAGCTTGTCTACATTCAGTAGACAATGAATCTAATCTATCACGATTTCGTTTGAATTTTGATACCAGCGCACACAATGTTCAGTAGCTGTAGTACAAGTCTAATATAAGTTTGGCCGGCGAAATAACAACAAAGTCATCTAAAGCCAGACAATCACATTGTCGACAGTAAGCATAAATGTCAACCCCGAACCCGAACCTCCTGAGCCGGAACAACCGTCTCCAATCCACCCGCCAATTCCCCCATCCCGTCCTCCCCGTTCACATCCTCACCCCACGGCAAAGAATCAACATCGACCTCCCAACCAAGTAAACACCTCAGCACAACCTCTGCCCCAGCTTTACTCATCACCTCATTCATCTCCTTGCACCGTTCGTCGCAAACACACTCGATACATCCCTTTGGTGTAATACACTGACAGGCCTCGATCCTCGCTACCGCGCGTCGAAGAAGTACATCGACGAATTCAAACGCCTTTCCTGCAATCCCAGAGCCGCAGGACCCGCCCTTGGCGTCATAGAACGTTAATCGGGCGGGTCGTTGGCGGGCAGGAGGTCGGAGGATATTCTGGATATTCTCTTTCTCCTTGCTTCGGGCTTCGACGGCGACTCGGAGATTCTTGCCTAGCTCCTTTTTCGCGACCTTGCATTCTGTTCGCACGTCGCCCGGGGAGGAAATGACGAATGTGGGGAGTAGTGAGAGGACGGCGTGTTCGGCAGCGTGTATGGCAGCCGCAATGTTGAGGTGTCTTGATTCGAGGATTTCGAGGGCCCGTTTGGGTACGTCGAGCCACATGCCTTTGGTAAGGATATCGATGGGCGGGTTATCAACCGCCACGGCGTCGAGAACGCGGCCTCGTTTGTCGATCTTGAAGAAGCCGTAGACGACAGCGTGGATGCGTACGGCGCCGTAGAAGGCGCGCGAGCTCGTCGTCGGGCTAATCTGTCGGATGGTTTCTGTCTCGATGGGGTCGATGTCTGTGTAGTCGCGTTGCATGGTGTTCCAGTCGACGTGGACGCGGACGACGCGCGCAAACCGGCTGTCGGGGTTGAGTTCCTTGACGAGGTATGTTTGGCCCTGGTGGAGGAAGATGCCGCCTTCGTAGATGGTGAAGAAGGCGCGCGACGCCTCGACTTCTTCGAGGACGATGTTTCGGGCGTTGGTGGTGTCGATGACGGCGAAGTGCTGGTCTTCTGTGTCGCGGATGGAGACGCAGCGGGATGGCTGTGGACGGAATCGTTCGTGGCAGTGGTAGAAGCCCAGGGCGTCTTGTGTGAGGCGTGTGGCGGCGAATTCGGGGAGTTGTTGCCCGAAGTAGATGCTGTCTTCGTCGGGGCGGATGGGCATCTCGAATGCGGCACATTGGACGTGGCCCTCGAGGATGAGTTCGTTGGCTAGATCCACCTGCAGCTCGCAGTTGGGTTTGGTGAATAGCTCTTCGGGGTTTTTCATGTAGTATTGGTCTGTGGGATATCTGTCTCCGACAAGCACAGAGAGGGAATCCTTATTCCTGCGTCCGGCACGGCCGCTCTGTTGGCGTAGGTTGGAGATGGAATACGGGAAGCCGAGGGTGATGACAGCATCTAGAGAGCCGATATCGACGCCCAGCTCGAGGGCATTGGTCGCCACAATTCCCATTAGCTGGCCCTCAAACATTTCCTTTTCGATTTTCCGTCGATCCTGGGGACTATACCCGCCTCGATAGCCCATGACTAAGTTCCCAATCTCACGCCTTTCGAGGTTTTGAAATTCAGCCCGCACGGCCTGTAAGAGGACCTCACATAGCTTGCGTATCCTACAGAATGCTATTACTCTTGCGCCTCTCAGGATTAGCTGGCAGAACAGTCGTGCGGTTTCAGCGACGCTGTCTCCACGTCCTGAAGTAGGATCGCCGGGGTCTTTGAAGGGCGTGTTCCAGCATATGAACTCCTTTCGGCCAGAGGGAGAGCCGTCAAAGTCTATTAGTTTGACGTCTTCAACGCCGAAAATTGCCTTCATGTGGCCTTCAGGGTTTGCCACGGTAGCTGAGCATGAGATGAACCGGACGTGGCGGTTCCCTACAGCTGCACATATCCTGCGTAGTCGTCGCATGACGAATGCAACATGGGATCCGAAGAGACCGTTGTAGACGTGTAGCTCGTCGACCACAACGAATTTCAGATTTTTTAGGAACGTACGCCAGGCGCTCTCCTGTGGTAAGATGGTGATATGTAGCATATCTGGGTTCGTGAAGATGATTCGCGCCTCGTCACGAATCATATTACGATTCTCCATTGGTGTGTCACCATCGAAAGTCTCGACCATTGTATGTTGCAAATCCTCCATGTACTGCAGTAAATCTTTCATACTGCGTCTCTGGTCCTGGGCCAATGCTTCGTGGGAAATATATACAATCCCCGGCTATCATGATCATTTTCCAGCTCATGTAGCATCGGAACCTGGTATATCAACGATTTACCAGAACTGGTAGAGGTAGAAATAATGACGTTATGACCCTCATACAGATGGTTGATTGCTTCCGCCTGGTGAGAGTAGAACTGCGTGATACCCCGTGTGTTATACAGGGCATTGACGAGATTCTGAGAAAGCCTAAACGCCAACTCCCCGTAAATAGCAGGCTGTGCGTCGATCACCCTATGGCCCTCTGGTACGATCTGTGCCGTATACCAGTCCATCTCACGGATCTCCGTAATAATGTCTGACATAGATTTGCGTTCTTTGGGGATCTGCTGCGGCGGAGCACTCGTCACAGGCACCGTATCACCATCATCTGGAGGTACAGGAATCCAAGCATCCTTTTCCCGTTCAAGTTTCTCAACTGGGTCAGTACTATCGTCTTCGCACTGTACTAAGAAGGTATCAACCGCGTCTGAGAACTTTTTATTCCGCTTCTCGATTAGCGCGAGCATCTGCTTCTGACTGTAGACTGGAATCTTCAGATCTTCATCCTTCAACTTGCGCATGGGTTTGGCGTCCTCCCCGGACTTAGATCGTTGAGTTTCCCTCTTCAAATCACCATCCACGAACTCGAATAACAGAGCTATACTCTGTGAGGATGCTCCATATTACCATCGCCACCATTACCAAGCTCATACCTGCCATGCCGACCATAAGTCTCCGTCATCTCCTTGTCCCCAACATTCATCACTTCCAGTTTCGCCTCATCAACATACTCAAACCGGACCGCCCGCGGTACAAGAACCCTCACCCGCGCAATCTCCTCGACCGTCAATTCCTCGCCCATCTGCGCCTGAACCGCTTTCTTAATGTTCTCAAATGTTGTAGCAAAGTGCTTCCGCGTGCAGCAGAACGTGTATACTATATTCAGGGCGCGGTGCGTACGTGACAGTTTCTTGAATGGGTCCGGCCATGGTGCAGATGGAGTGCGTTTCGGTGGGGGTGTTGCTTTGGATTTGGGTCCCCTTTTTGCGGTCTTTTTGGGTGCCAGGATTTCACCGGAGGTATTGTTGGGTGTGGATATTGTTGATGAGTCTGGAGGAGTTGGATCTTGGGCTTTTCTGCGTCGCTTCGCTTTGGTTGGTTGTTCTGGGGTTATGGTTGTTGACGCGCCATCTTGGTCCAAAGGGTTCTCTTCGGCAGATGATTTCTTGCGCTTTGATACCGAGCTGGAGCGGTTTGTCTGGGAGTTGACACCGGTCATGTTGATATGCTACATTATGAAGTGTTCAATGTCCCTGGATGGAAGTATGAAGATTTGGGTCGGAGAAAACACGGGATCCAACGATCGTCTAGAGGCGACAGACGCGGTGTCACGTGGAGATAAGGTTGCAATATTACTGGATTCGGGGTAGTGAGTGGGCTTTTGGATCTATAAAAGTTAGTCCTTGAGTACTCGAGTCTCTTCAAGAAATTGGCTTGTTAGCCATTGCGGTTAAGAATTGGCAGTTAAGCCTCAGAGTACAGTAGTAATAGGTAAGACTGATCGGATAAATCTGTAGACTCTATTTATGCACGCCAGATCATCTTGCTGCATGCATGACTCAGACCCACTCCAGAGTATGGTCTGCCTCTGAAGTTGCATAACTATAGTACATACTCCTTGGTCATGAATATCTAGAGAAAGGCCTTGCAATTCATAGCACACAAGGTAATTCATGAGAGACTTACGTTCAAAAGTCTGTCCAAGGTACAAGAATCAATGTACGGTTCTAGGTAGTGTTAGGGCTTAGTGGTAGGATTAGGCTAGCTACCAGCGAGTATATATCAGTTGACTAACTAAAGAATAATCATTAGAGCTCTTATTGAGGCCTCTACTGTGTTGGGTGGGTTTATCATGTCTTTCTGGCACTCCAAAGTACAAGACAAAGGCATCCCTATATAGAGCAGGACAGGCCTGAAGCCTTCAGTGTACCTGAAGTGAAAACTAGTAGGTCTTCGCGCTCTCGTCGCAAAGTTGCATTATATATTTCCTCACTTTGCAACCCGGCGGTTTGTGGCTCATTAAGGAGTCGTGTCAATAATGTCTCTCATATGTAGCCTATTGAACTTGAACTGAGATGGAGGGGCTCGCTGGCAGGGATCTCCGCACATCACATGGCAAGTACATATACCTAGAAAAACAACATTACAGACATCTTCGCTAAGTCCATCATAACACCTCATACTTTAAACACTCACTCAAAACCGGAAGCCCATTCTCATTCTCACAATGGGTGACTCTAACCTCGCCACCGCAACTCCTTCGACCTTGGGAAGTAATCGGCCAGGCCCTCACCCCGCATCGCAAGACCGGCCGGTAAACTTCCCCGAATGGGGTCAGCCTTCAGCCAGCGGATACCGCGTATCTGGCCACATTATCGGAGAACCATGGCCCGGAAGGCAGGGCAAAGCGTTCAAAGTGATCATGATGGGGGCCGGGCCTGCAGGGATCGACTTCTTGCACCACGCCCGGAAGGCCCTGGAAGACCTGGACGTGGAAATCAAATGTTTCGAGAAAAACGCCGATGTGGGCGGCACATGGTACGAGAACCGCTACCCTGGATGTGCCTGTGATATCCCCAGTGCCAATTATCAGTTTCCTTGGCGTCCGAATCCCGACTGGACTCACTTCTACAGTGGCGCACGGGAGATCTGGGAATATCTTAAAGGGATTGTCTTGGATGAAGGACTTGACGAGTACATTCAGCTCAATACACGGGTTGAGAAGGCTGTCTGGCAGGATAACATATCGCGGTGGGTTTTGACTCTGCGAGGTGCATATGATCAGGTGTGGGAGGAGGATTGCGATCTGCTTTTGGATGGAACAGGGCCTCTGAAGTAAGTTTCAGGGGGGTACAGGTGACTCGAGTCTAACATACATATAGTGCCTGGAAATGGCCGAAAATACCTGGACTAAAGACCTTCAAAGGGCGCCTCTTTCACACTGCGCATTATGAGGAAGGATATGATCTGACGGGAAAGCGTGTAGCTGTCATTGGGACCGGTAGCTCTGGGGTTCAAACCGTCGCTTCAATTTACCCTCATGTAGCCAGGTTATACACCTGGGTGCGTAATCCTACATGGATCACGGCAGGGTTTGCTCAAAAGTATGCCGGCAAGGACGGTGCGAATTTCAAGTGTAAGTGACAAGCTTCTACCATAGTAGCTTCACGGTGCTCACAATGTTTCAGACTCAGAGGAAGATAAAGCCGAATGGCGTCGGAACCCAGAGAAGTACCTTGATTACCGCAGGCTGATCGAAGGCGAGCTGAACCAGCGGTATAAACTTGTGCTCCGAAATACTAAAGAGTCACATGAGGCCAATGAAGTGAGTCCAACACATCAGCCAAGTGAAGAACTTCACCTCTAACGAAGCCACAGTACGCATATAACGAAATGAGAAAGAAACTTGAGAGCAAGCCGCATCTCATCGATAAAATCATTCCCAAGAATTTCAACGTGGGCTGCAGGCGGCCAACACCCGGAAACGGGTACTTAGAGGCCCTAGTAGGAGAGAAGACCACTGCTTTCACCGAACCAGTGGCAAGTATCACGCCCAAAGGCTTCACAGACCAAGATGGAAACGAGTACGAATGTGATGTTATTATCTGTGCCACTGGCTTTGATACCTCATATCGACCTCAATTTCCTATCTACGGACTCGATGGAATCTGCTTACAAGAACGCTGGGCTGAAGTCCCCGAGTCCTATATAGGAATCGCTGCTCCCAGGATGCCAAACTACTTCATGTTCTCTGGGCCCTTCACACCCGTTGCACAGGGATCCCTTCTGCCCATCATCGCAAAGATGAGCAAGCATTGTCTGCAAGTTATCCGCAAGATGTACGTACAGCACATTCGACGTATAACTCCGAAGGACTCAGCCATTGCCCAATTCATGGAGCACTGCTGTGCATATCTCCCACGAACATGCTGGGCCGATCCATGCACTAGCTGGTTCAAGCAAGGGAGGTCCGATGGTCCCATCGTGATGTGGCCTGGCTCCCGTCTTGCATTTTTTGATGTGCTTAGTACTCCCCAGTGGGAAGATTTCGATATAGAGTATCATTCTGGCAATCGGTTCGGTTTCCTAGGGAGCGGGTTTTCGCATTGTGAATTCTCTACCGAGGAGCAACTGACAGCCTATCTGAATGTTGAGATGGAGAACGCCTTGGCTTACCCGGAGGTTAAAAGGTTGATAGAAGCTAACGAGATTGGGAAAATGAAAGAGAGGACTCGGGCAAATGGCACATCCCCCTTTTTGCCATGACCTACCATTTCCACGCATGTCTCTTCGAGCTGATTTACCTTGCGGTGATCAGAACCTTGGATTGAAATGATAAATGATTGATGGATGTATTAAGAAATAAGATAACTGTACAAAACGAATGCAGTGGGTGTATATTCAAAAGTTAAAAAAGGAAAAACGTGCATGTCGAATGAGACCTCAGTGCCAGCCAATGTAGAGCCATGCCCATGGCTCCATCCAACACCCCAGTTCAATAGAGACTCCTCGTAACAAATGCAAAATGCCAACCCATCTTAACCTACTGATGTAAGGATGTAGATGCTCGTCTCCTGAGCCGAAGGGCCCTTAATGCGACAGCCACATCCCAAAGCATCTGTATCTGGGCAATTGTCCCCTGAGGGCTGATTCCTATATAATGGGCTTACTGATGCTCCAGTAGGTCACAGACAATGCGATAGAGCTCCTTGGCAGAATCCTCGCTTGGCATCTACACATAGTTAGTTATCTTGTCCATGTAGAGATCTCGCACGTGCAGATTTGACATACCCTCAGTAAGGTAGGGACCGATCGACCTTCTTCCAGACTCGCTAGGTGAATCTGCTTGGATTTGGGTTCGTTGCCTGACGCATCGCCAACCTTCATGCCCTTGAAAATGGGCGTGTTTAGCATTACGCGTAGAACACCGTCCGCGCGCATGATCAAGCGAGTAGCCTTCTTGTCCTCTTTACCATCGGTAACCTTGACATTAACTTTGAAGGTGCCAATTCCACGCTCCTTCCATTCTCCATTTGAGAACTGGAAGAGCTTTGCCTTGCTTGAGAAGTAGGTTTTCTCTTCCTCCTCTCCTGTCTCGACTATTTCGGAAATGTGGTCAGTAAAGGTTCTTAGAGGGATTTTATATAGGACGACATACTCGGACGTTCAAAGAATCTTTCATCTGTCTTCTCCTGCTCAAATTCTCCAGGCGCAGTATCGGCTTCTTGATCCTTATCCTTTTCTTTTTCTTCTTCTTCTGCTTCTTCATCCTCTTCTGCTCCAAACGGCTTACCCTTGCTAGAACTTCCGAGAATACCGGCCCCCGCTGGTGCAGCGAAGCTAGTGAGACCGCCCTTCGAGCCGGCAGCCCCAAATCCACCGCTGAACCCTGAGAATCCGGAACCCAGAGATGCAAACCCGGAGGTGCCAGCGGCGCTTGCGAATCCGGTAGCAGCTGGTTTGGTAGCTTCAGTAGTAGTTGCTGACTTAAAGACAGATGTGTTAGAACCTCCTATGGCGCCGAAAGGTGACTGTTCTGAGCTAGCAAAAGCGGCCAGGCTTGAAGCAGCGAATGCAGATGAGGATGTGGCAGCCGGCTTCGAGGTTTCTTCCTTGGGCTTCGAGGCACCAAGCGAGCCGAAAGGCGAAACGGCAGACGTGTTTGCAAATGCGCTCTTCAGAGGGGCCGATCCTCTTTCTTGGGAAGCGTCCCTGTGTCGCTTCTTCTCAGGCTCCCCCGCAGTCGTCTCGGAGGCGCCATTTTCTGCGGGAGCCTTACTGTCATCGACGGTGCTTTCGGCTTTCGGCTCATCCTTATCCAGTTGGTCTCGGCTTCTCTTCTTCTTTGGGCTCAGGATCTTTCTGGCAATGTTCGTGGTTTGTGTCTGCTCTCCCTCAACCTCGGGCGCATTTGACGAAGTAATGTCTTCATCCTCATCAGCCTTAGAGTCGCGTGACCTCTTCCGTCTATGGCCGTTTTCCTCGTCTAGATTCTCGGGCTGGTCCTCGTCGAATGATCGCTTCCTACCCCTGCTGCTCGAGCGGCTATTTTCGCTGTCCTGTTGTTGTTCAGTGGAGGTGCCGGCTGTTGAAGTGTTCGGGGCCGAGGTGATGGATGTCTCCTTTAGTTTGTGGCGAACAGGGCGCTCAGCGTTGTCGTTATCGGACGCTTGAGAATCATCCGCAGTGGCTGTGGGCTGTTAGACCAAACGCACTACCAGCGAGTCCCGACATCCGCAGGAGGGACAGACTTCCAAAATTTTACGTACCTTTAGTGTCCATTGGGTCCACGCGAGCATCATCTGTGCGATCACCACGTCAGTTTTCCAGCTGATACCTCTGCAGAACGGTGTAATGTACCCTTCACCCCAATATTATCTCCCGAGTCAGTTGCCATGTCCTATGTTTTTCGGTTGACTCTACCAAAAGCTGTAGTGGATGCCGACAAAGAGAGATTTGCACGATCCAACGAATGTGGGATATCTTCCCGAGCTAAAAGGTCGCTCCTCAGCTGTATGATCGACGTGGGGAGAACAATCGGATCAGGTGGTAGGTACTGTGGTGGCCGCTGTAGGGCGTCTGGTAGAAAAAGAAGTCCCAGGTGCCAAGTGCTAACGGTCTCTGGTCGAAAAGCGATCGAATGAGGCAGAGATCCAACTAGTGGGAGAGGTGCAGGTCGAGAAGCGGCCGATTCGCACCAACGAACGGGTGACGACAAACTGCTTTGTTGTCGTCGGCAGTCGTCCGGTCACCGCCCCGCAGTTAGCCTTACTAGTCAGTTTTATCTCCCGGCACGCTTTTAATCTGATAGAACAACAACAATCAATCGAGCAGAAGAAAACATTCTCAATTGGATATCTTAGCATGCAATAAACTAATACACTAAGGAGAACCAAACAAGCACAGCTTCAAGGAACATCGACGGGATAAACAGAAAGAAAACAGAGTGATAGGTAGATTTCACACGCCCGTTACCATCGGCTTGCAGCACCGTCTTTCTATCACGAAGGCTGGCTAATTCCCCAGCTATTACGTCGCCAGCATCTCTTAGCACCTATCCTTAACTGATAAAGCAGAGGCAACCGATCGCAATGTAGAAAACAAACAGTGGGTATACTGCGATACCAACCCGATTCTTGAGCACTCCGGATCCACCAAGAATGCTGATACCCGCCGCCAAAGACCATGCGATCAATACAAGATATACCGGTATCCGCGCAATAGTCGGCAGGCCAAGCGCACTAAGAAGGGCAGCGATGACAAGAGGGAAGAGCGTATAGCCGATGATGCAGACAGACTGGAAAAAGGATCTAAGATCAAAGCATTAGTAACCACTCTCGGAAGCACCGTAGAAGACATGAATGCACATACATATTCCCACCCAGCAGCTTAATCTGCAAAGTCACGACCGCTTCCCCAATCCACACGATACAGAATACACCGGAGAAGACCAGGTCTGACTGATCTCCCTTTGCGCGCATTGCCAGGAAAAAGCTCAATAGTAAGCAGAAAATGAGCGGACCCCTAGAAAGGCGGTTCTTATTAGTATTCCAGCAGGGCCAAATCGCATTAAGTCAAGACAACAGCATGCTGCCAGTATACTTACCAAAGATCCCAGTCACGCAGACCTTCACTCATTCCGCCTTGTAAGACAGTATCGGCGTCCGGCCAGCGGCCCACGAGATTCCTCAGACCACCACCACTACCAAACCCAGTGGCCTCTCCTCGTTCGGCCGCACCACCAATACCTCCTCCACCACGCTGCAGCATCCCACCCATCAGGTATTTGGGCCACAAAACCTGGCGCATCTTCTCCCAGACTGCCAGTAGATCACGCGACACCGTTTCCCATACCGTTTCATCGATGGTGTTCTGAGCGGCGCGGCGGTCTTCGCCAGGGATTGAAGAGGTCAGGTAATTGCCGGAAAGATTTCCTCCTCGGGAACTCGAAGCCTCGGGCTGAATATTGCCTCTTAAGGGAGTGGTATCGGTATCGTGTAATGGGTCATCAGCGTCGATGGCTAAAGCGCGGAAGGGTCAGTGGCAGTCAACAAGGGGCACGCCTCCATCCGAGGGGCTAGTGAGAGGCCAAACTCACCATCATCAGCTTCAATAACATCATCATCAAGAATTGAATCATCATCGTGCAGATCCCCGTGGGAATGGGTATGTGATACGCTGGCCATGGTAGATATCGTTTGTTGTAGTGAGATGGAGTTCGATCGCGAGAAGGAGTTAGCACCAGAGGAGCATTGCTTGTTGATCCAGATGCTACCGGAGCTACTGGACTATAGATTGTGCCAAGCGTTGGTTCGCTAAGCACAAGAATTCGCCGAGGGATAGTGAGATGAGGAGGTAGAGGTCACGATATGAGCTGTCTCGTTCCTGGGAGAGGCTACAGTGGCATAATGCACGTCTTACGTACGCGGCACGGGCTGAAAGGGGAAGGCGGAAAGCTGCGGATCTTATCACCTTCATATCAGATTGTTTTCCCAACATCAACCTCCAACATGAGCCACTGCTAGTAGATAGTTCAGTGTGAAGACTGTATCCCAAATCTAACATAGCAGCAATGCCTTTTAACGTGGTAAGGGGCCTAACTTGGTGACAAAGCCATCGCTTCTACTTGACGTAGCATACAGAGCACCTGCTCCTGGCCGCGATACTTGCGAAACCAATCCTATTCCAGGGGTTATGAATCAATGAAAACAGAATTGAGATGTCTTTTATGTAAAGAGATATCTATTATTACATGAACACTGCCGATATTTGTACATATAAACCACCTCACTGCCAACCATGATAGTGTACACTGAAGATTATATACCAACGCCTGTAGATGCATGCAAGTATGAGGTCGTATCAACCATCAAACAAGTCATAAAACTATTCGTTGTGCAGACTGCACAAGCTCCCGCTACTCTTCATTGAACTCAGTCAACATCTAATGGATCCTCAGCAACTTGCTGATCTTGGTATGCCAGAATCTGTTCGGAAGTCGGGGAAACCAGAGCATTCTTGTACTTCTCGGTGATCTCAGCGTTGGAATACTTCCTTAAATCCCGTGAATCTTTCTTGAGTTGGGCGCGGATTTCTTTGGAAAGTAGCTTAGAGTTTGTTGGCTTCAAGATATCATCTATCAAAACCCTCACAGTGGCTAAGACCTTGAGAGCTTCCGCTCCGGAGACGGCATGCTGATCAGAACTATTGGAGCGAATACCGCGGCCTGTGACTGGAACTGGAGACACTAGACCATGCTTCATAGCTGTATCAAGTTTGGCAACGCAAGGGCGCAGCGTTTCAACAGCGGTTGTTTGTAAATTAAGACGCAACTGCTGACCCAGAGCACTCAGGCCGCCGGCTGGTCGTTTCCCGGTCCCATCGATGCCATTCAGTGACATAAGAAGCTGGGGGCTATCACCCAAGATGCGGACTAGGTCGAGGTAGGCTCCCAATGCCTGGGGAAAAGGTAGCACAAGTGACTCCTCCATGAGATGAAGGAGCCCATTAGCATTCTTGAAAACGTTGATATTTTTGCGATCACGGAGACAACATGCAAATGCGATCCGGAAAGACCTCCCCTCCGTCATTTGGGCGGGCACCATCTGATTGCGTATGACCTCAAGGGCAACGCGACTGGAATGGCCAAGCCGTAAAAGTCGGAGGTATTGATGGTATGTGCCGCCATCCGGCTCAATCTTATAGTGTGTGTCTTCCAGGGTTAGGTGCTGCCAGTAAGCTTTTCCAGCACTAATTCCTTGAGTCATACTTAAGCAAGCCTCCAGGATCAATGCAAGTTCCCTATTTCCCACAGAGATAAAAGAAGGTCCCGGGCCAACGATAGGGTCGAAACGTTTTCGAATGTTTCTTCTTCCTCTTCTTGTTCGAGTTCCTCTGGCTCCGCCTCTGATGGTCGATACAACTTTTCACTATCATCCACGAACGGAACATCTTCCTCTAGGTCGCCTCTTCTGCTCTTCTTTTGTGGTTTCGAAGATGAATCCGATGGCTCTTTGGCGAGGATTGGGACTCCAGTGACTTGGTGAATCAAGACGAACACGTCATAACAGTCCCGATCGGTAGATCCTTCCAGGAGCAGATTGGCCATTGCGCTCACAAGGAGGTTGTCCAATTCGAGCTGCCCCTTCTTCCATCGAAAGATAATATCAGACCATATCCGCTTACCTTCCTTGATACCCTGGGCTTTCCTTGCAAGAATTTTCTCCACCTGAGAAGGCTTCATCCGATCTACGTCCGCCTGGGCTGCATCCGAGATAGCTCTCAGGATAATACTGTACGTCGTGCAGTCTGGAGAACCTGGTCCGTCTTCAGGGAGCTCGCCAGCGACCTGCCATAAGCTGTCCATATTACGATGGCGTGCACAGACATTGAGCATTGCATTGGTGTGGATAAGGTTTGGCGTTACGGTTGAATTGGGTGCAAAGATAGACCTGTAAATAGAAAACGCGGTCTTGACAGGGTTGACGCCGGCGTCCTTGCTTACTCTGCATAGGCCATCCAGCATAACTGTGTACGTCACCGAATTAGGCCTTCGTCCTCGCTTCTTCATCTGCAGATTGAAACCCAATTGTCAGCCCTACTGCCAGCAAATACACAAATCTGACATGAACAAAGATAATATCTCACCTCATTGTAGAACTTAAGCGCTGCCTTCGGATTGTTCTTCGTCATACAATACTCCATGAGATGATTCCAAGCCACCGTGCACTCCATACGTTCCCTTTGCGCCGTGCGGACCAACGCCACAGCCAACAGCACATCATCGGCCTTTAAAAGCCTTGCGACTCGGTCAGACAGCGCCCGAGGGTCCTTCAACCATTTCAACTCCATTTCGACAACTTTTCCGGAAACTCTGACTGACATGGTCCCGTCCAATTCCTCCCGAGTCTTCGGCGAAGTGCCTGCCTTCGCAATCGAGAGCAAGATGTCATCGTGTGTGGTTCCTTCTCTAGATTTCACCCACCGGTTGGGCTCCAGGAGCGTATCCTCAAACTCCTCACTCGTAACGGCAGACTCCGAATCTTCAAACTCCCCGCTCTCAGCGACGGATTCCGGTTCGTCAATTTCTTCATTCACATTCAGAGGTTCCGAGTCTCCAGAATGTGTAGCTTCAGAATTTGTAGAGTATCGTTTTGCGCCAACAGGTAACCTCCAAGCACTAATTTGTCCCGGCACTGTGACTCTCGGAGCAGGATACGAGAGAGAAATGCCCCTAGCACCTCCCGAAACACCTCTGGGCCATTTTGAGCTGAGAGATAATCTCGTTAACGGGTTGCTCTTAACGCCCGTCCGAAGAGCAGTAGCATTAGTGCAACGAAGCATTTAAAGAGCGAAGATCGATGAATCGCCTCGTTACCCAATTGTAAAGTTGAATTCTAGCCGTTCTTCACGTATCGCTCGGCTGTCACAGTAATAAGACCGTCTTGTAAGTTTTAAATGACCTCCGCAGGCTTATTGTTCAACAAGGAAAACTTTTCGGCAGGATAACGGAGTCGTGAAGGGGAGGCGATAATGGGGTGGTTAAAGCGATATATAAGACAGCGAAAAGAAAGAGATATTGAAAAAAACAGAGAGAATAAGAAAGTCAAAGGCACAAACCCAAACAATCTCCGAGGCAAGCAGCAGAGCAATAAAGACGGATTAGAAAGGAAGGTGAGCCTGTCTCATGAATGCGCAGCTCTCCGATAGCTCAAATTATCGCTGTATCGTATCGGCCAGGTTAACGCTAGTCAGAATGAGGTTAGATTGCTCAATGGCCATTCTGGGAAAGTATCTCCGCTCCCGCTCTGTGAGGCCTTAGGCCGCAAATCTCACCCCTGTATATGCCTCAGGCACCACATACTAAACGCTCTTTCGCCGCTAGTGGCGAAGTGAACCACTGGACATGTCACGGAGCAGTGACAGGATGCCCTACTTTGTCTTAGCTTCAATAGACAGTTAAGGAAGTAGCCGCTAGTCGACCAGCATCTTGTTTGCGATGGGCAAGCCTCTCGGGGCCTAGGGAACCCCGCCAAACCATAGATAACCTAAAACCAAACCATGTGTGCCTCGTGGGCAGAGAAGGTTCCGAACTTACAGATCTACTAGCCTTAGTCTCATACCTTAGCAGCTTAACCTTACATTGTACATGCTTTGTACTACGTACTAGTAATCCTGGCTGGAATAATCGCACCACTAAATCTTAGCCCGCCATTTCTGACGCATAATACATGTAAAATTCAATGATCAGCCTACACCAGTTCGCATAGCCGGATGTGTCCAATTTACAGGAGTTATATTAGACTAGTGGTATTGCAGATCTTGCTTATACAACTCCACTGGTTCTTCCTAGGGTGTAGGGAATACTGTACCTATATTAGTGTATCTGTATTCACCCACGGCCATTGCTCGGCAATACGCCATCCCTTCAGAGTGGAAGCCTTGGAACTAGTCGACGTACTCATCATTACCAACCACATCAATGGCTGAAGTATTGATTTAACGAAAAGGATTACGGTCTCTGGAAGAGCTGAACATGGCGGATCTGATGGCGCACTTTCCGTGCAAATATGTCCACAATTATTGAAATGTATCGTAGGTATTCAGAGGTTCATAAGAAATGCGAAAGAGGAGAAAGTTCCGAGTTGTGTGGAAAACTGTATCCACCAGTCCATGACCTGACGAATAGATGGACAAAGGCCATGGACCATAGAAAATAATGCACAGTTTCGGGGACCAAAACCCAGGGTAACATAAATTTGGCCGAAGCAGGGACAGTCGAAGACGAAAGCAAGGGCCATAACAAATAATTCACATACATAAGAAAGGTGAATTCAATAAACATGATCTGCATAATCCACAGGGAATAAAACGTGTGAAGGTAAACGGGAAGAAGACAAGGCAAGAAAAGAAAAAGAAAACATCAGCTAATGCAGATTGCCCCGCCAGACATCTCAAATCACAGTCCTATAGCCGGTATTCGCGAGGGGGAAACAAAGATGGGATTTCCCGATAAAGGAGATTCTCTTCCTTTTGTCAAGCGATCTAATTCAAAAAAACATAACTGGGACAGAAGCGTAAGTCGCATGGCCACTCTTTTTGACTGGAGCAATCAAGGCCAGGAAATGGTATCATGTGCGCAAGACTTTAAAGAATTAGATCCGGGGTGGCGATACACGATTAGGAGAATTTGTTATTAGAATATTCAAGCTGAGAGAAGAGAGGGAAGTTGGATATCTATTGCGGGTAGCTGGTCGATTGGTTTTCTGCAAAGCCATCCTCGATCAGCTACAACCCGTACAACGATAGACCAGAGGACCTCTCCTCCCGAACTTTCCTTTAGCTCTTTCTCATGATGTTTTTAGTCATGTTGAAACTTTCTTTTTTCTTTTTTTCTTTGGAATTTCTCGTGGCCCGGTCCTAACCAATATTGCAAACACAAAGGACTGACTACTTACGTTGCTGATATACTTGACCGCTCTGGCCATAAGGCGAGTGAGGGTAGTTTGGCGGATAGGCCATCTGTCCATTGCCCTGATACACCATGCCACCGCCAGGAGCTCCGTACTGACCAGGCACCTGGCCGTCAGCGGGCTGGTACCCGATCGGGGGCAGTTGAGGACGGACACTGCCAGGGTAGGCAGGAGGCTGACCGGGCTGCCCCGGATCGCCAGGGCCAGGGGCATCAACCTGGTTGGCTTGCGCAGCCTGGGCAGCAGCAGCACGCTCACGTTCCTCGGCAGCCTTGCGCTGAGCTTCTTCCTCCTTCTTGCGAGCCTTCCACTCTTTGCGAATTTCCTTGAATTCTAAAGCAGAATAGTTAGTCCCATTGTCACCGATTGTTGTGGTATGATTTCAGTAAGAACAAGATGAGGATATGGGGACAGCTGTAAGCGACGTCACTGGCAGGGAGGACGGCTTCGGTTTAGGTTAACCTCCGCACCGGCTCCTCACGCTACTGCGATCCCGTCGCGCTAAAGCGGTGTAACTCGACTAGCGCGTGGCACCCGCACTAGCCTAAATTGAGATACCCGCGACCCCTCTCAAAACACAAGGATCATGAGAAGACATTGAAACAATGCCGCCCAGAAGCGCCCCCAGGAAAGGGAAGAGGGGAAAACACACCTTCAGGAGTTCGCTTGGCTCCATGGGACTGCATGGTAACGTGCGCGTTCAGGTGATTCAGTGTACCATATGCCTTTTCACAGCCATTCCATCCACACTTGTACATACGCTCAATTTCCTCATACCGACGACGGGGCCGCTTATGCTGTTGCGCGCCGGGAATCGGAACGAATGAGTAGACCTAGAAATTTCCAGATGAGCCTATGACCATTGACAGTATAACCCCGAAAATAAAGGAGAAAGTTAAAGATGAAAAAAGCGCGCCGCTAGCCATCCTTGACCCCAAAAAAGGCAGGCTGACAGCGGCCCCCACTTCTGGAGGCGTCCAAGACAATAACCAACGCGAATGCGCAGCCTTTGGAAACAGACGCCAAAATCATCAAAAACATACCTGGCCAGGGCGCGGCCTGCGGTCGCAGCAGGGGAGGCGGGACCAACCGTTGTGGCAGGAGTGGTATAAGGTCCAGGCAGACCGTGCTGATGTTGACCATACCCATGCGACCAATCTGGACGCGCATACATTTGTGGAGGCGGCGGAGGAGGGTGACCTTGATACTGGGCCATTTCATGACCCTGTGGCTGATAAGGCGAGTAGGGAGGAGGATAGGTTGGGCTAGAGGCCGCGATTGAGGGATCTATAGGAACGTCCGCGTCAGACTTTACGTTCGTGTGATTGCGATGGTCATTTTGCAGCCCATCATGGAGGGTATGCATAGACGGACTTGTTGCTTGAGCCATACCTGCCGCACCACCGGCCTGTGTGTTCGGCGCGTGATGGTACTGGGGCGGGCGGGCGAGGTAATCAGGGTAAGCTGGAGAGCGCGCGGCTGGCGGAGGCTGATTCAGACCGTAGTCTGACTGCGGCGTGTTGGAAGAGGAAATATTGGCGGCGGGGCGAACCTCGGGTTGCGGTGTGTATTGAGGATTGGGGCGCACCTCAGGCTGAGGCGTGTATTGAGCAGTAGCAGCAGCAGATGCCTGGTCTGCAGCTGGAAGTTCAGAATGGGGCGCGACAGACGGTGGATATGGAAAGTGCGAACCTGACTGCGCGTACTCCGAGGCCGGTCTGTTGTCCATATAATATACTTTGCGCCGTTACCGGATAAAGATCCCTGACAAAAGCCTCCAAGCTAAAAACTCGCGTGCCTGTCTGTAGACGCGTCGAATAACACAATGAGCTTTGTGAACGTGATAAACTTGGGGTAGGATACGCCGATATAGGCCAGGTATGAAGCAGGGGGAGAAAGTTTGGTTCAGATCTCTGAACAAGATCCCCGTAGTGTGAATACTTCTAGAGATCCTTCCTTGTTGTCACGTACTATTTAGTGAATCGGAATCCCGGTGTATGAGCAATGATCACTTGACCAGCTCTTCGCAAATGGTAGTTTGTTGGGTGGAAAAGAGGGGAAAAAGAACAGTTCAGAAAAAGACAACAAAAAAAAAAAAGGATGAACGCGTGAGACTAAAGTGAAAATAGTCACACTGAGAACACCACAATTCAAAAGAAAAAAAAAACACCCAGATTGTGTATTGGGAGTCAAAAGGGCAAAGGATGAGGGTGCAGTGACTCTTCCAGACGGAGATGTTGGATCGCGATGCTTAATCGCCTTAGTCGCCTCTTAGGGTGACGGAGAATGCCTTGCAGGGTGGCGGTCGACACGACAGCACGAGGAACCAGCGGGAAAGAAAGAGACGGTCCTGTTCTGCGCTCGGGCAAGCTTGGGGGTAGAGGGTTTAGAAAGCAGCCAGGCCAAGAGCCAAAAAGTAGCGTCGATAGCCTAGCACCAACTAGTAGAAATGGGTAATATAATAAAATAAAATAATTTAGGTCCCAGAATCCACTGCTTAAACGGGTGATAGCGCGAAGAGCGATGTCTCGATCCACGAGTGGCCACACAGTAGTACAATCACCCTAAAATCGAGACGGAGGAAAAATGGTTCGACTCGACCCGGAAAAAAGAGAGACTTGAGCAGATGAGGCGACCTAAAAGGTTTTTCGGACGGACAAGCAAAAAAGAGGCTTTTCGGCAGGAGGAAAAATCGCAGGTTAGAGCACCTCGTGGGATCCGAGAGTGCGGTGGAGCGGCGCGTGGGCCCGTAATTTTCTTTGGTACTCTCTCTCTCTCTCTTTTTTTTTCTTTTTTTTCTTGCCAACAATTTTTTTTTTTTTT